ATATTGGTGTGTCTGTGAATAATTCCTTACCAATGAATTAGACATTAAATTGTTGGTAACAAAGGAGAATAATTACATTTCATAGATGAGAAACTGTGATTCATAGGGGCTAACTGATTTATTTGAGGCATCCTGTAAGTAACATATAAAACTAGCAGTGTTCTACAATTGAGTATCTAACCTAGATTCTGAATTCTTCAGATCCAGCCTAAAGTGTAACTCAAATTACTTTTTAGTGTTTAAATTTGTTCTAATTTTTTAAAACATTAATGTGAGAATTTAGAAAATTTTAGTTAGAAAATGAATCAGTGTCATAATTTTACCTTCATCTGGGTGGTCTAATAATTATACACATGAACTAGTAATAGTAATTTTTTTAAAGAAAAAGTTTTCAGCTTCTTGCAAAGAAATGAGAATTTTTTCTGTTTAGTAAAAAACATTAACTTTGTTTTATAAATTAGCAGTAAGAAAGTTAGGATTGCTGCTATCAAATTTAAAGTGAAAATTTCAAAGTGAAATATCTAAATGTTAATACAGAAGCAAAATAAATCCAGAAGAAACTTATTTCCTTTAAATGTCTGAAAACTTTTTACCGTGATATGAGTGGTTTATTAAACTTCTGTGGTTCTATATGGTCTTCTGTTGCCTTGTCTAGATGAATAGCAGCTCCAAGGTGTATTAGTATTTAGTATTGTTGGATAGGTGATAGATTTAACATGATCAGAACTTTAGTTTATTAGATCAGTTTTTCATTTACTGTTTACTACTATTACATGTATAGGGAAAGAAAATCAATTAATAAATTCATTTATATATTACATTATTAAAAGATGGGTTTTTTTTTTTTTTCCAGTTTTTGGCCAGGGTTGGGTTTGAACCTGCCACCTCAGGCATATGGGGCTGGCGCCCTACTCCTTTGAGCCACAGGTGCTGCCCATATTAAATGATGATTTATCATAAGCCACTGCTTAGTAGAGAGCCACTGTAGTAGAAAATTTCATTTCTGTTCTTAGAAGGTCTCATCCTGGTCATAAAATAAGATATAAATAAAACACAAGCATATTGCAAAATGTGAATAAATATCTCACTTAAAGAACACAGAAGAGTAATTTTGGAATAACATTGGACCCTAGAGATTGCAAGCCATTTTTAGGTGCTGAAAATGAGCAAATTTATATTAAGAAAGATTATCATAGGGCTGGTCAGTAGCAGACTGTCATTTAGTCAAGCAAATTTTTCACCAGTTGGGTCTGTACCTAAAATGAACTAGAGTTGGATTGATGCGATGTGAACAAGTTTGAAAAAGCTTGTTTAACTTTCTCATTGGTAAAAAAGTCAATTTCCAAGAGCACTTATAATTAAAAGCATATTATATACCTATAGTCATGAAGAGCTTTAACAAGAGAATTATGTTATTAATGTCATATGTCTTCTTTCAAATACAATTTCTCCAAAATATAGACTAGTCATTTTCTTGGTATTTGACTTGCTTTTGTGGTTATTTTTAAATGAAATTAAAATATCCTGGGAGTGGCTATTTATTATTTCAATATTTACTTTAAAGGTAATAATCAGCTTATAACTTCTTTAGTCTTCCTTTTGAATACTGGGTACATTCAGAAGACTTTTGCAGGCAGTTAGTCTGTGTTTACATAAAAGTGATGTTTAAATAATGATATCTTGAACAACCAATTGAACACTTCTATTATATTTAATTAAATTAAACCTATTTTGTAGATGAAGAAATTAATTAGGTAAAATTCTAAGATAATACAATTTACACGAGAGCTTTTGTTTATAGGTGTTAGCAGAGGAATCCACCTTCTTTTAAAGAAGATCCTTCTGAAGGTGGAAAAGTTTAGTGTCCTAAATTCAGAACTTAACTTTGGAAGTAATGCATGTTGAAGAGGAAGGAGGGCAAAATCAAGCCAAGTCACATCTAGTTGTTGAGTCTACAAGTGTTATGAAGAGATCACTGGTTTATTTAAGGCCCTTCTAGTCACGGTGACATGCCATCCTGTTCATTGTTTAGTTTCTCAGTTTGTAATCCAGGAAATCTTATCATCTTTTTGGTAAAAGTCTCTGTATAGAGATAGAACTCACCCTATAGCAGGAGTCCCAGAGGTTTAGAGGCCTCTCCTTCTCTGCTTAACCGAAGCTTTCTGATTTTTTGATATCTTTGCTTTCTCTCCTCCAAAACAAGGTGTTTTTTTTTTCCAATATTCTTTAATGTTTAACAGCTCTATTTCAAAATTCTTACCAATTACTTTCCTCAGACATGGGTAACTAATGAAAAGGTTTAGAAAGTGTTGTAGAGAAGCAAATCATACCCTGTGCAAAAATGCTGGACCTGGGAATTATTTCCTTACCAAGGAAGTTCTTGGCCATAGGCAACCTATGCTTTACTTTTCTCTGGTTAGCTGTCTGGGTTCTCCTTACAGGTGGTTGCCTTGGGCTACTGCAGTGTTGCCTGTTTCCTTGTCTTTTTCTGTGACGTTTGTTCCTCATATTGTCCTTTAGAGAAATGTAAAGTCATCAGAGAATCCTTGTGACATTCTCTTTCTTGAGGGCAGCCTGGCAGCTGTACCTCTCATTTTGAAATAATAGGATGGTACCAAATGATAAAAGGCAAGGAAATCTGATTGAGCTTAGAAGCATTTTGAAGAGGTAAGTTTAGAATGGAAAAGGTTGGGCGAGGGAGTAAATTTTAAAGATTTCTCTAGCTTCTAAGCGATTAGTGGGTAGAACTTAGCTTTCTATTTCATTCCTACTTCATTTTGTGGTGTGAAGGGAGCTTGGTTCCCTTCACCGTCTGTGTGGTAACAGTAATAATAGTAGGAATAATTGGCATTTGTTTAGTATTTAATATGTACTAGGTTCTTTGCTACTCGCTGCATGTACATGATCTCATCTAACCCTCACAATCAGTGCTCCCAGGCAGATAATACCATTATTCTCAATTTACAGAGGAGGCTTAGATTTACGGAGTGAATTTAAGTAATTTGTTCAAGCTCACACAGCTAGAAAGAGATGTAATTAAGGTCTCCTTTTTTCAAAAGTCCATACTTTGCACTACCAGGACGTTTTTAATTCAGAGAAGAAAGGGGCAAAGGAAAGTGATGGAAAGAGTTTAAAAGGAACAAGAGAGATTACAAATATTTCCATAGATTTTTACTTATAAGTAGTAAGATTTTATTTTATTTTTTATTTTTTTGGCTGGAGCTGGGTTGGAACCCACCACCTCCAGCATAGGGGGCTGGTGCCCTGCTTCTTGAGCTGTAGGTGCCGCCTAATTGCATAGTTATTTGAATAAGGATTTTTAGATATTTTGTGTTTTATTTACATGTAGACAAAAGTAGATATATTTGTACAGAATATTTGATATTTGTAATCTAGCATGCAAACACCTGAATATTACATTATCATCAGAACTGTTATAAAAAGATACTAATTGAATTTTTAAAAATTCAAATGTTTATGTTCATTGCAATTAAGATGATACTTTGTGTGCTGATTTACAAATTCTTTTTTTTTTTTACCAGCTATTTATTGAGTGCAGACTGTGAGCTAAAAACTGAGTCGTGTGTTGGAAACTGATCTAAAGACATGGAAGGCACAATCCCTGCTTTTGTGATATTATCTCCTATTATGTGAAATGATCAAGTAAAGAAATAAACGTTCTTGCTAACAAGAACACTTGTTGAGCAAATGAAGGACAGAGAGGAGACTTATAGATAAGCAAACCCAGGGCGCTGTGCCAGCAGTGGGGAGATGGTGAGCAGTTTGCTGCAAGAAGAGGCCTACCTAGCATGATTTGTAGGATTTCTGTTAATTAATTAACTCTAAGTACATCATTAGAAATACCAGGAAGATATTTTCTAAAATGCTAATGTCTAGGTTTTTCCATAGATTTTGATTTTTCAGTTTTGGGGGAGACCAGATCTAAATATTTTTAAAAAGCAGTCCAGTCATCCTAATGTGTTGCCATAGTTGGAAACCTCTCAAATATCATCTCTTGATACTGCTCCTAAATGATGCTTGCTGATAAGAACCCTTTTTGATGTTGCTGGAGAGAAGTTATTACTGGGGAAGAGAAGATTTGAAATAAATAATTCATGCAAGATGAAAAAGCACTTATTTAAAAATATATAAGGAAATCTTCCTACACGAAGCTTAAACAACTCCCCTACATTAAGACTAACCATTCCAGACAACTGAATAAAGTATTAAGATGTCTCTCACATCTCATCTAAAAATACTGAGTGTACAAAATGGTTCTCAGGGACCCAATACTCAGAGTCCTGTAATGAAATATTAATACTAATATAAAGTATACACCATAGAACATTTGGTCACGAATGGACACGTACTTACTCAAATAGGAAAGATTATAATGGTAAACATCTCAAGACATTTTCCTAAGTTGGTGACTACAGAAGAGTCAGAGGGGAGGGAGGTTTATAGATGAGAGTGGCTGAGTAGAAGAATCAGTGACTATGAGATGCTCATTGATTTTATTTACTAATAGGATAAACCATACATGGTTTCATTTTTTGAAGTATCCATATAAAGAGGATAAAAAGAGTTAAGTTTAATTTTTTTCTAAATAGAGGAAGTTTTAGAATTCAGCTGGTGACATTTAAATTAATGGTTAAGTAGGACCACAGGAAAGGTTTTCCATGTGCTATCTAAAAGACTGTATTAGATAATAGGATATTAAACAGCAATGTGGTTTTAGTGTCTACTCCCTTTTTATTTCATTTAGTTTGATTTTATTGTTGAGAAAACTATGATCAGATCCCTTAAGTTTTCCAAAGTAAGACAACTACTTAAAGATAGAATAGAACTAGTTTTAAGGCTTTTTGAACCCTATGTCAATTTCCATTGTAGCACACTATGTTACCTTTACTTTTCAGAGTTTTATTGTTCTTGCATTTTTAATTGTCAGGTCTAGTTTTCTTTTAATTTTTTTTTAAAGTATTATAATTTGTCTCCTGAAGGTCAAGTAACCTGGTTTGGTTACGAAAGTCCTCGTAGCTTCTGGGACTATATCAGAGTGGCTTGCCGGAAAGTTTCACAGAATTGTATTTGCAGCATTGAAAATATGGAAAATGTCAGTTCTTCTAGAGCTAAGGTAAGACACTTATAATACGCAATGTGTATAATCTAATCCTAAGCAGTTTTGACCTAAATAGAAAATATTTGCGCTCTTTGCTGTGTAAAATGTTTGTTTTCTTTACTTTGTTAGGATTAAGTACCTGACCAAATTTAACATCTTTCAGAGGCTTGGTTCCATTTTTTTTTTCATTGCGTTTAGTTATTTTAGAATGTTCTTGAGTCTTCACTGTAGCATTTTGAATAGCAGGAAGATATGAAGCTACTCAGTATGAATTTCCTTTTTAAGAAGCACAATAAAATATTTCCTGTTCTGTGATGTTTCTACATTTCTTGAATTATCCAAACCAGTGGCTCTCAAAACAATGTCCTTGGGGATCTCCAGGACCCTTTCATTATGGGTCCATAATGTCAAAAATATTTTCATATAATACCAACATGTTATTTGCCTGTTTGCTGTGTTGACATTCGTATCAGGAATGCCTCAGTATGTCAACGCAGCAATAGTAGATAAACTGCTGGAATCTGAGCATGAATTGAGGCAGTTATATTAAACTATAGTAGCAGTTACTCATTGAGTTCTTTCCCACCATGTACTCAGGAAAAACAAACAAAAGTTCACTTCGTAAGATCAGCAAGGGTACAATAAACATTACTTTTATTAAATTTCAACATTTGAGTACCTCTCTTTTTAATATCCTGTATGACAACATAAGGAGTATACTAAAGCATTTTTGCAGCATGTTAAAATATGAAGATTGCCTCAAGGAAAGTACTTGTGTAATTAATTGTTTGAATTGTGAGCTAAACTAGATACTTTTTCTTGTAATACTATTTTTAATGGAAAGCAAAGCTTATGAACTATAATTTTTTAGACTTAGGCATTGGCACAAATTTTCTTGAAAAAAAAAGTAGGCCTGTTACTTCAAAGAAGCAGCTGACAGAGTTCCTTGCCAATGGTAAAATTAAAGCTTTTAAGTAAAAACTAGAATTTTGGAAAACTTGTATTCACCACCTTAAGGTAGATAGCTTCCCAATACATAAAGACTTTTTTTGATGACATTGATGTTGATATTAACAGATGTATTTTTTAATTTTTTAATGCAATGTGTGATATTAACAGATTTTTTTTTAATTTTTTAATGAAATATTTGGTAGAACTAGATAACTTGTATTTTTGAAATGACCAATTCATGGAATTAGAAAATCATTTATGGGTAACAGATCAATTCAACGTTCAGGATAGATCAACGGATTTAGTGTAATTTAGTACGAAAATGTCCTTGATATGGTTACAGATTCCGTATTCCAACTAACGTTTAAGAAATTACCTAATGGGTGGAGGGAGGGAGAAGAAAAAAAAAAAAAAAAAAAAAA